GAACTGACCCCAACCCCCATTCTCTGTCCACCTGCACCACTCAGGGGAGGAGGTACAGAAAATTAGGAGTGAAGTTAAGCCTGGGAAGAAGGGAGGGGTGGGGGGAAGGTGTTTTAATATTTGGTCTTATTTCTCATTATCCTACTGATTTAATTGGTAATAAAGTAATTTCCCCAGGTCAAGTCTGTTTTGCCCATGACTGCAATTGGTGAGTAATCTCTTCCTGTCCTGATTTTGACCCATAAGCCTTTCGTTGTATTTTCTCTCCCCTGTCCAGCTGAGGAGGGGAGTGATAGAGCAGCTTTGGTGGGCACCTCGTGTCCAGCCAGGGTCAACCCACCATACAGACTTCATTTGAAACAAATCAAGCATTAACCTGTGACCTAACTTCCCTGGTATAGACCTTCATCCCATGAAGCACCATGCTCCAGTACTCACTGGTAGACTCCAGGATGGTACGCTACTGTAGTATTTGGGATAGACTGGCTGAGAAAGGCCTGTGCCTTGTCCTAGCTTTGCAGAACTTTCTCAAAAGCCCCCAGATGAAGTCATTTCTAAGCTATGGATAGCACCTGCTCATTAAAGTCTGTGCTGACCTAACCATGGTGAGTGAGTAATCAGAATCCTAAGGGATATCCCGTCCCCACTGCAGACAAAGTCATGTGTCAACAGGATTTGCATGAATGAATCCCATCTGTAAAAAAAATCATCATTACCTCACAGGGAAAAGGTTTGCCATCAATTGTATGCTCTGATCCCTGGCTGTGCTTTGTACCCCAGTGAAAGTGAAACTGCTTTAGCCGAAATGGGTTCTCAAAGGGACCACCACTGATTGCTAGGCAGAAAAAAAAGAAAAAAGAAGAGAGGAAAAAGCTTAAGCATCCTGCCTTTTTAGCTTCCTATTAGTAAAACCTAACCAGTGTTGGCACAATAGTGGAAAAAACCCAGCAGGATCTCCCCATTGCCAATATGAAAGAGATGCATCATCCAGACATTTAGAAGGGTTGGATTTCTTAATGGAAAGCACCTGAATTCATATAAAAATTGAAATTAAAAACATTGAGTGGCTACTTGTACAGAATTCTATAGCTTTTTTGAAAGACTATTTGACATATGAAGATGTGGTAGCCATTGTTATGGTTATGCCTTTCCTGTTAAACACAATAAATCCAAGTTGAATATTAAAAAATAAATAGCAATTTGAAACTCAGGTACCCAAAATATTTGACAGTGCTACCTGATATTTTGTGCAAAAGCGTGTAGATACCTTGAACATCACGTAGACAATTCAGCTAAGTATTTCCTCTTCAGAGTATCTTTACTTCTAGTGGAGGTTAGCTATATTCCATTTCCTTTAAATACCTGATCCCAGAAAAGAGGTAATATAATAGCTTGTACTTTACACAACACCATTCAGAATCTCAAATCACCTTATAAAGGTGAGGAAGTGCTGCAGAGAAACTTCATACCTCATTCAGAAATAAAACATTCATCTGTTCTTAAGTGTAAGATGCCATCTGTAGAAGATACTTCATCAACAGCATCAGTAATCCTCCTGTAATTTTATATGGCACTAAATCAAATAAATTTTGCCCAACAGACATGAAAACCTGATCAAAGTCTTATATTAAGAAAATTAAAGTCACATTTAGTAACTGTAAAGCACTTATCCTCAGTGTAGTCCATAACATTTTATTTAAAAAAATTAAAGCTGGGGCTTGCACAGTGCTACCACATGTGTATAGTTCCAGCTGGCCTTTATGCAGAAAACTGGCCTTGCCAAAGCAAAGGTTTTAGTATTAATTAGGAATATAAGTGTCTCCTAATAAGTTTTTCTGAACTTAGCAATGGAATGCATCACCTGTCTCAAATATTTTAAGAAATCTAGCTATGATGGGTTACTGTCAAAATTCTGTTGTGCCATTTATGCAGAGCTGTGAGTCACCAGATCTATTTCAACACAACTAAAAACACTTTAAACCATGTTTTCCACTCCTAGCAGTCTTCCTCCTTGAAAATGTTATTAAAACAAGGCACATGCTTAGCATAGAAAGGGCAGAGGTCTGCATTCCGGTATGTATTCCAAGTCTATATCTCTAAATGCAGAGTAATAGGCGATGTTCTTAAACGTCTAAAGCTGGATAAAGTTCACTGTTATGTAGATACAGTTCAGCTTAGAATTGCACATAAGTAGTTAGCAAGCTAAGATAATGCTTCCAGATATATTTTACAAAATCACATGTAGGGTGACATGCTTAAGGGATCTATATAGTAAGATTTTGGAAAATGAACATCCAGCCTTCTTTTCCAATTCAGTAAAGATGCTTGAAAACCTGACCATTCAGTTGGGCAGTTTCTTAGATTCATTCCAGAAGAGAAATTTTAAAAGAAAACAGCTGGAATTTTAACACCCAGCCCTTATTTGAAAGGGTTGCCAGCACAGACAAGTTACTTCACAGAAAAAGTAATTGGTTTTGAGTATCTAGGATAGCCTATTTAGCAGGAATCAATACACACACCCAAATGGAAGATTAAATCAGCTGATAGGTTTAAAATTTTTTTCAGAGTGTTTTTTTTAAAATGCACTCTTCCCATTATCAGCTACTTTATCATCTCCATTTCAGTGCTCTCCCCCTACCCCTGCAGATGTAAAAGCAAGGTCTACCATGGAATTAGAATTAACAGAAGTAATCAATCACTTAAAGCATTTCTATTCTCTGCCAAGAGCTGAGACAAGAATAATACACAACTGCAGATAGTCCAACATCCATAAGCTGCTACCAACTCAGAATTAACTGATGATTTTATAATTTCTGAAGAAACGGAACTGCTATGAGGCAGGGAGGAAAGAAGAAAACCATACAAGGTAACAGTAACTGGTCCAGATACAACTTGGTGTAGTGACTGAATATGACTACACCTGACCTCTGCTAATCCTCTTCTCTTCCCTACCCTTCTGGATGGAAACTGGGCAGTGAGCCAGAAAGAGCTGGCATGTGTGTTAGCATCTTTGATTTGGATGGTTGTGGAAACAGGGCAGCAAGGAGCATACGCACCTACTCCGCATGCTGGACACGGTCAGGACTACTGGAGATATGCATGGGTTCCCTGTCTAGCAAACTGACAATCCCCATTTAAAAGGGAAGCACTGCAAGCAGACTTCTGATTTTCCTGATGCAAGAGCTTTTCCCTAATGCAGAAACACTATTCTGCCGTGCAGTATTGCATTGCTAGAGAGACTCAAGCAAAGACACGAACTGTGAGGCTCAAGAGGAGAAAATACAGAGGGCTCTAGTCATATACCTTGTTCTAAAGTGGAATTATACATCATATAAAATATACGATACAGGATGTACTTAATTGTTTCCCTTACTAAGTCAAAAAATAGTACTTCGAGTTAGTTAGCTGGCTGTTAGTCTCACCTGTCTTGTCATCAGTATCTTCAAACTCAACCATGACTGAATGGCCATTGTTGGAGATGTTGAGAGATGTACATGATTCATAGGAGATAACAAGTGGCTTCAGATTAGGGTCATAAACTGCTTTTGCAGAAACTATATCAATAGGTGACTGGCGGTCCCCTTGGGCAATAGGATAAGATCTGTGCCACTCTGAAGGTCCTTCAAAAGGAAAGGAAAGCAGCGTTATTTTCTTCCTACTACACACAAAATAATCATTACAGGTTTTCATGAGGCTTCAAGTAAAGTTTGCCGAGCAGGAGAGACTTGAAAGTTTGGTATCCGAGAAGTTCATTTACATTCTAAGCTGGTGTGGTTTTATTAGCACAAATAGACTGCAACAAGATGGGGGATTCAAATATCTTGTAGAAAACAGAGGAAATCACAGCACATCAGACTGCTGTATCTTCAGTTACTTGTGCCACTAATTTTCTGCACAGTTTGTAATTACCTGGCTAAAGTATCTGAAGACCTTCCAAGGTGCGTGCAGGTGTAAACGCACTTGCACGCACACATACACTGCCCCAAAGAAAAAGCGTTTAATTCTTGCTGGGAAAGACAGTGTAAAAGCTCTGGTGATTCAAATTAGATGCAGATGACTCAATCTCTTAGCTACTGACTATGCAGTTATTTTTAAAACCATTTTATGACTGCAGTAAGTCTTTGAGGCAGCTCCATTCTTCACTCATGCCCATTATGGTATCACTGTACCCTGAGTGAAGGGCACAGTGTGATAATTAACATTTTTGAACTTTCTGACCCCAATAGGGTGGGGAGAAAGACCAATTTAATAACACAGCTCTCTACTGCCAGAGCTGGAACATTCTTATGTTGTTTGAGATAACAAAACCTTATCTGTATCGAAGAATTACTTATGACTTCTTTTTCTACGTTGGTATGGTAGTGCAAGAGGCAATTAAGTTCTTCTACTGCTTACGTTCATGAAGTATTAACAGTAACAATTTTACTTTAAGATTCTCAAGAACGTTTTTAATTGTAGCATTCTCACATACTTTCACAAGTGGAAACTTTTTTTAATCAAGCACAGGTATTTACCTTCCTTAAGTTTACATAACAAAATCACTGATTTGTTATACTCTTATTTGTCTTTGGCATTTTTTGAAAAGCTAAGCTTACGAAATAATATCTTTTCTCAGTCTGCTTATAAAGCAGATTTAGCATTTAAATGCTGTTACACAAGCTTAGGCAATATAATTTGTCTCTTATAAGCTTCCTAAAAATATACACGGCTTTGTTCCTACTACCTATATGCCCAAACACATTATCTACCAGCACTAACCAGCTTCACTTAGCATTCAAACTTGCTTTTGGACTCACAGAAACTAAAATAATTGCTGTTGGAGAGAGAGACTGGCTCTTGAAGATTATGCAAAAGACTTGTTGGACGTTCAACAGCTAAAGTAATTGCTGTCAAAAGAGAGACTCCTCAAAGTTATGCAAAAGACTGTGTTATTGGACAACATCAGTCACTCATCCATCCTTCTCCATAAAGGATGCAGGTGCTATAAAACACTGTTGTAGGAATCTTTCAGTAGCTTCACATATCTTCTCACTCTGTGACACACGTTCTTGGAGGTGAGAAGCAAATGAGGATGACTAAATTAAAAACTGTCAACTCAGAAAGCATAAATTGTTCTATAAGAGATCTCTGATACTGATCTGTACAAGTTATTGGTGTTCCAGAAATATATAACATATACATTATTTTATTCACTTCTATGGAAGCCTAGATACCACATTTCAACAGCTGCACAGGATCAGAAGATCTTAGTGCCCTACAAAATCTTTACTTAAAAGAATTGCTTTTGGAGAGACAGACAGTTAATCCTTTTCATAACAGCTTTTTGGAAAGGGACTCATCTGTAATATCTGCAGCCTGGAAAAAAAAAAAAAGAATCACTCGGTAATGCTTCCCTCAGTTTCAGAACATTGATTTCATCAACGAAAGGCAGCAGGCGTTAACTTTGTGCATCTTTTGGTGCCACTTTCTGCGTGCTATTTATCATCAATAAAGTAATTAATTACCTGCTGTATATACTTGGTGCTTGCAGACATGGAAAAGCAGGCAGCTCTGCAGGGCTCAGGCAACAGTTCTAGAAAGAAAATGAGTGGGGGAGGACAGAGAGACGCAGCACGGAAATGCTATAACCTACCGTCATCCCGCCCATATCCCCAACTGTGGTGGCCAGTCATTACAGGGGACCTGCACCCTGCTTTGCTCTCAGCTCTTTGATCGGGGCACTGCTGCTCACCTGCCTTTATAATGGCTCACCGTGGGACAGGGTCAGCCTCTTAAAGATACAGAGCAACCAAAGCAATTCCTGCAGGACAGGGAAAGCACCCGCGTTCCTCCTGCTCCCAATTTGGCTGCTCCTGCTGCCGCTCATTCTCTTTGCTAACTCAGCACAGGAGAAGGAAAACGTGAAACCGAGGTAACTGAAGTCCCAGGACTTCGAGAGGAACCAAGACTGTCCAGGTGGCCTGCGGATCAAATTGAGGAAAAGGTGTAGCATTTTCCCATTCTACACCACAAGGAAGCAAAAGCCATAACCTGCTGTCAGCATCAGGGCACAGTAATGTGTGCAGATTGTAATGGGAACTGCCCTTCCCACTTTTATGTTCTGCAGGGAGAAACATCACTGCCTCTCTTTTCTTAACCACTCTCGCCAGCTGCAAAAAAATGAATGATGTTTCCACCCGATTTGTAATTCAAACTTCAGAATCAGTGCTTAGATGAGATGGAGAACATTCTCATCTCAGAAAAAATTACTTGTGCTGCTTTTAAACAAGGTAAAAATCACATCAAGTAAGGATAAATTGGCAACCTGATTTTTTTTTTCCTTTGTAACTCTAAAGAAACTTTTTTAAAAGACAAAAATAAAAGTGTGGTTATGTTGGGGAACAGAATACAGCAGACTCTAGAGAAAGAAGCTGATCTGTGAAGCCTGTTACCTGATATGATCCAGCCTGCACCCTGCTAAACTCACAAGAGGCTACAATGAGATACCCAATCTGCAGCTGTAAAATGTCTTAAGACATCTTTGTGGCAAGAAAAATGGCTCCTTGGTAGTAATTTTGTTAGACCTGAGGAAATGCTGTCTGTCAAGGCTACATTTTTGTAAACAAATTGATTTTCACAAAGACAATAGCACACAGAAATAGGGATTCTTCTATTATGCAATCAAGAAAATGGAAGGAAAAAAATCAATGAAAGCATTTTATGCAACTTTTAGATTGTGGTACTGCCTTATAAGAATTAATTTCCTTTTTGAGGAGCTTTCCATAGGAGTCAGCTATAAAACCTTTGAGATTCACTGATGCAAGCTAAACCACTCAATAAGAGATGTAAACTGCTGTAAAGGTGTCCACAGGGTAGTTCTACAATGGTTTACTCAGGTCAGCTTCTCCATTATTTCTGTTAAACCACTGTGATCTACTGAGGTCCCTGCACAGGCCTGACAGACGCACCACGCACCGACACTGCAGGTTTGTCTGTGGCCAAATAGTCTGCAGGGCCTCATGGTGAAACACAATGCTTCCTCATCCTGGAAGCAGTACAGCATGGGGTTAAAATACTTCGCTGCTTAGGAGGACAAATGAGATGCCAGAAGTTGTGATGCTTTAGTTCTTATTCTTGTGTGGCTCTGTGCTGTGTTTGTAGACAGGGAAGCCAGATGTAGACAGAGATAGTCAGATGCAAATAGTCAGGAAAGCTGTTCTAAACCATGGGGAAAAGTACAAAAAATGCCAATTTACCAGTGAAAAGAAGAAATGGAAGAGGAATTTGGTACATTAAAAAAGTGGACTATAGATTGGGGAAAACTGTATGCGAGGTAGAGAATACCAAGCAACTGTTTTCAAGAGAAGCCTCAAAACTGAGGCTCAGATCTTGCTTGCAGGGCACAGTGCCATTGAAGTGGCCCAATGTCTACATGCATTTGACACCATTCACCACTTTAGCTTTTATCTTCTCACACTGAAAAACACATAGATGTCTACATATGTGGACTACAAAGGCAGGGCATAGGAAGACAAGAGAAAACATGCTTGAAGACGTGACAGGAAATGGACTCCAAAAAATGGAGGTTTAAATGGCTGGATTTAGAAAAAATGAAAAGGGGCAAAGACAATACCTGAGAGCAAAGAAAAAAATAGCTTGAATAAAATTTTAGCTATAAATGATAGCCAGTGTGTATATAACGGTTTAATGTGCTCCCCCATCCAATCAGCCTGCTTTCTTTTTGAGGAAAACAGTAAATATTCCTTAAAGCCAGGGTAATACTGCTGCTTATACAAATATCACATTAGTCTGTAACCCTGATGCCTCTTGATACTGGATGCCTCCAAGAGTGGATTTTCACTGATTCTGTCCTCAAGTTACCATTTTTCACTGCAAAGGTTGTGGTAGTAATCTAATTCTGATCTCAATTTTACTACCTTGAATCAAGGATAACTACATCACACTCATGAACTTACAGAAGTGAAAACAGGGTGGTAGGTGCTTAAAGGGTAAATTTCTCCAATGCTGAGCTAAAAGTGAAGTACTTGTGATTTCCACAAATTTCTATGGGCTTTGATTCCATCTCAAAAGTGTCTGCTTAGCAGTGAATGACAGGAAGACATAATTCCATCCACTACAGTGAAATGTTTCAAGCTACCTTAAAGAAAAATTGTCTTCCCCAGCTTCATAGTTACCGTTTTATTCCTCTCTGACAGTAATGATGAGTGAACAGAGCAGCAGCCTAGGCCAAATACATAGGTTCTTCTGAATCTGTCACTACGTTGTGATACTGAACTAACAACAAACGCTTCCATTTTCCCACCCCTATATATGGAATCATTTTCTTTATGATTTAATTTGAGCTGCCTTTATTAAAATTGCTATATAAGAACTAACCATTACAGTTAGAAAGCTCCAAGTAAGTGCCGAATAAAAGTTGAACATATTAAGCTTTGCAGGTTTGAGGAAATAGGATTTTTGAATCTCTAAGGCAAGTTGTCTCTATAATACAGACCGGGAGTCACTGGCAAGTATTTGCACAAAGAGATTATGTCACTTGAGGATAATGCTTTTGGTATATATTACTGCATCACTGTAGAGGGGCAGAGCTGCATTTTTGGAGATGTAAAATGATAGTTATTTGGTTCCAAGGTGAATGGCTAAATGGCACTCTAAGTGTATTTGCTTAAGTAACTTGGCAATTATCTTTGCTGAGCATCTTTAATAATGGTATCATACATTTGAATGAGGTGTCATGTGCCTACTTTAATGCATATGAGTGTGTCTGATGTGTCATTGCCTATTAACAAAAATATAGCAGAAATACAATCAGTTTGGGTACAGGCTGCTCCCTTCAGAGCCTTTGAGGTACAATAGGTAAGAGCAAATTAAATGTTAAAACATTCATCTCTCCAGAGCCTGCCTACACCTCAGGTTCTTGAAAGAGTATCTCGTTTATCCAGGCAGCTCATCTCTCTTCTTACGTTGCCAGTACTGATGCTGGCAGTTTCCAAATGGCAGTTATACTAAGGTGACATCTGTCCTTTATGTGTGCGTTAAAATAATTTACAATGAATCCAGAACTGCATAAAAATACTTGACAAGGTAAATATAAACTGGAGAGTGTACTGCCAACACTAAACATTAAAAAGCAGAATCATTCCAGACTTTTTTTTTAATTTTTAGTATTTTATTTTAAAAGTGACTGCCTAAACTTGTTGATTGACAATAGAAATTTCAAATTTTACATTCTCAAGGTTTTCTTTGCAAACGCAAAAATCTAATGACTGTATATTGAGATTCTCATACATGCAGTGTAACTTCAGGAGCTGAAAATGGTAATCCTCCTCCCACAGCTACATAGTGAGATTCATGAGATTTCTAAGGGAAAGATCTCAACATTTATTTACTGGGAATCTCTTCCTGGCATAAGGAAAAAAAAAAAAAAAAAAAGGGTCCCTAAGTAAAGAAGGGATTGGGAAGAAAAGGACAAAAAAGACATGCATAAAATTAGCAGACAACTTTGCAAGAGAAAAAGCTTGAATAAAATATGGGCCAAGAAAGCCAAGAGGAAAGAAATAATTTATTTAGAACATTCTTGGGAAACTGGGGCAGAAAAAGCAGAACAGGGTACCTGGCTCCCTTCACATGCCATTTTTTGTTATTACTTGTCTTTGACTTTCACTTGGCTGCTTTATACCAGAAATGGGGACTGTATTTTGGAACTCAGTCTGAAATAATACTTCTTACAATTTATGGCTTGTCCAGTTGAAACTGTATAATTGTAGCAGATAACAAGAACAGAACAAGACAACTTTTGATTTTGGTAAATAGAACATTCCTACAAATATTGCAATAGTAACTGAAATTTCAACAGAAGGAAGGATTTACTGTGACATAGCAAACACAAAGCCTGAGAAAAATGAACTTTGGAGGAGATATGGTATATGGGAAAACAAAAGAGGAAGCACTGACTTGTATTACAACATCATCTGCAAGGTATAAAACACTAAATTATAATTGCACTGTTGTATACTTCATTCCAGGAAATATATAACAAATTAAAATTACTAAAGAGCAGCAGATTAAAAGGATAACAGAATACTCCTTTATGGGCTAACAACTCAGCTGGAACAGCGCACACATTTTAGGACATCTCTTTTGTTGTGCAAACTCAGTGCCAGAGACGTTCGTTGAAATTTTTAAAGATGTGAAAGTTTTCTCTTTTTTTTTGGTACAATTTCATAGTATAATCTATATTGGTCCTATATGGAAATATTTTCATAACAGAAGTACATAGATGCAACAGATTTCAGATTTTATTGTCTCAATAGTAAATAGAAATAATTGTAATAATGTACACCATCTCTGCAAAATATATCTAAACCGATTTTTCTGAATGCAGGTATCTAAGGGCTTCTGACTCAGACTGCTGTAAAATGCTTCAAAACTTCATGCCAGAGAGTGGGTCGAGAGATGAAGAGAAATACCCATTTTGAACATAAATTCTGGGAATGGCATCGTATTTTCAGAAACACATTCCTGAAGGAAACAGCATCCTATGTTTCTCTGCTTGTGACTTCCATTAACTTCAGTGCTCCCCAAAGACCTCAAGGCCTGCCTTCTCAGCACAATTTTTTTCTACCAAAATTGCCATCTCAAATTCCACTGAACAATGACGGCAGCTCTTCTCATACCTCGACTGGATT